ATATGGAGTGAAAATTCAGTGTTTTTTTCCTTTTTTTTTTCATCTTTTTTACAATAACAACGATGGGTGTAAAAGATTCGGTCACGACTTATAATTTTTCGCTTTACATTGTCTTTACATTTTCGAAATAAATCTATTCATATTCTAATGTAGCACGAATCAATACCGCAAAGTGAGCCTTTCATCTGATTTAAAAAAAAAAAAAAAAAAAAAAAAAAAAAAAAAAACTAGAAAGTTTTACTTTTGACAGAAATTCGGCAAATCAATCTACGAAGAGGACAACAAGTTCTGTTTGCATGTGCTGAATAGAATAACTACCACCTAAGTACACCGAACACACAATTACAAATATTTTCGACGAAATAATTACAAATGTTTTAAAATTTTCAATGTAATCTTGTTTTTAATTCCGCCAAAGAATCGACATAAACTCGGTAAGGCCTTTGGTTTTTTTTTTTTTTTTTTTTTTGAAATACTGCACAACACCTTAGATTTCGATTGATGATAACCTTGAATTAGTTCAGCTATGCCCATTCGACCGTTTGATGTCCCTTGTTGCATGTTGCATGTTGCATGTTCACAAATGCATAGATCTCGTCGCCGCTTCACATCTCAACGACAGTTTTCTAATAATATCAATCAAAATCATCCACCTGTCCGTCTGTCCAAGGTTCATAGTAAACTTTGTAAACATCGGGTCACAAAAATTATGATGTCGCTTACAAGTTCGACATAAACATTGAAAATGAACGAAATCATTGAAAAAATACGCTTACAGTGACTTGGTTTTCTCACTCACTTGTACCTATCATTTATGAACTAGAACAGGCACACGACAACAATTTCCACGTAGACTTGATAAAAATTTAAAAAAAATCAGCTCATGCCCATCCAATGGTGTGGTACGAAAATTTGGACTTGCCGTTGTTTTCCTCAAGTTCTTTTTAAGATATAGATGATCGGTACATAGAAGTGCAAGATTCGACCATAGACGAATGTAATTTTCTTACTCGTAAGTGCACGTACAGAGAGAGTAATTTGAAAGATTTGCCTATAGATTTGCGGCTTTGGATGCTGCCGCCGACGCAACAGATGTACAAGCAAACTTAAAATTCCGAATCTCACAGTAATCGTGCCCGATTAAATATAGTTGATAATGTATCTGAACTCAGGGCAAATCTTTCTGTAATAGTTAAACTCTGGGGATTAGTTGATAATTAATTTAACAAAGAATGAAAATTATATCCGGCTCTGGCCGTATCCTTCATATCCGTCATCTTTTTCTTAAAAGCACAAAATAGAGAGCAAAAAGAAAATGAAATCTCAGTTACTCTGTAATATTAGATAAGTGTAATCGATTCTGTTTCCGTTTTGGATACATTCCTACAGATAATGTGTGAAAATTTATATCGCTACCTCTGTTGCGTTTTATGAGTAATGAGCAAAAACACACAATACATGACCTTTGAGAGCAAATATGCCCCTAGGTTGTGTTTATGTTGTCCTGTTCACGCGCGGCAAGAGATTTCAATGTTCTTATCAAATTTGTAGACGATGGCTTTATTTTTGCAGCCAAACGAATGTTTATTACGATAATTGAATGGACACACAGACGGACATACTTAAATCAATTCATAATTTGATACTGATCAAGAATCTGAAGCCTCCGTCTGGCCGTTTAATAATATAATGAATCCCCCCCCCC